TGTCCACTGATTTTCCTGTATTTGTCCATCATGGAATTAAAAGCTCTTTAAAACCTTTAGCTCGAAAGGAATCTAGGCGAATCACAATTACCAAACAGAACCTTTTCTAACGTTTCAACAGTGGTGTCCCTCTGCCGTTTTGAACTAAACCTGCAAACTGCTCTGGCGGTGACGCTGTATCAACAGTTCTATGCGCTGAAACGTTAATAAAGTACAGTTAGGTCTGCCACCCTGTAGGCTTCTAAAATCCTACCTTGTAATACACATGTACTCAGCATCCAAATATAAATCACAAAAAATATTTGCTCAACTTATGTAGATTTCGAAAAATGAAACACTCTGTTACAAAGGTTACCTTTCAATCCAAGATTTCCTTTTGCCAACACATAACTAGAAAACTTGTCACCCTGCAGAGAGCACGCAGCAGCTGCAGCTACTGAGTGCAGGGACCACAGCAAGGGCCAGCACCCACTTCGGTGTGGGGAGCCGGCTCCACTCAGCTGGAGACAGCTGGCGGCTGCTGAGAACTCCTCCCAACTCCAGTCCAGGAACTTCACAGCAGCACTTGAAACCGGACCACAGGAATTGGCGAACACTGGAACAGGGCCTCCCTACCCTCCCTCTCTCCCAGCATAGGAAAGGCAGCTGATAAATGCTGACCCAGCACGTCCCTGCAGGAACCCCGCTGCAGTCAGTAGTTTCCATGATGTACTTGCAGATAAGCAACCATCAGGCCCACAAACACAGGGGAAGCATGTGAAATCTTTCCACCCAACTTTTATATATAATATGTTTCACAGTCATTTTGCATTCACTGTCAATTAGAAACATAATGTATCTCAAAAATCAAACATGGTACTCCTGCGTGCTGTATCTATTTGAGGTTTCATTATTCAGTTGTTATTATCAAAGTTTGCACAGGTAATTACTGCTGCCATATTGCAAAATCAATTCATTCTTGAAACTTCTAATTATTCTTGGCAGCAGAAGACGCTCTCTCCTGATGAACGCAGGACAGAGGCTGCGTGAGGCAGCTAAGTCCAAAGTCAGAACCCCAGGCAACTGTGCAGCCTAAAGAAAAGAATTTATAACGCTCGCGGCTGTGTAACCCAATTTTCCCAAATGTCATGGCAATTCTGAAGTGAGCATCATTGATAATCAAGGTAAAGGAGTCAGATCTTCTAGGAACTAAACAGCTCCCAGTATTTTCCCTGCTTAGATCTCACTGCCAGGGAAATGTGGATTCGATGGAAGGTTGCCTCTGCTGTGTTCTCCAGCACGCTTCCAGCACACATTCTACACACATCCTATGAAACGCAGATGCACTGCTCTTCCAACACACTTTATACACGCGTCCTACGAGACACAGAGTCCCCAGAGGAAACCGCACTGCTCTTCTAACCCACGTTATACACATATTCTATGAAACGCAGATGCACGGCTCTTCCAACACACTTATACATGCATCCTATGACACACTTATGCATGCATGCTATGAAACAGAGTCCCCGGAAGAAAATGCACCACTCTTACGCACACCATTCTTCCAACATGCTTATACGTGCATCTATGAAACACAGAGTCCTGGGAGGAAAACACTCTTCCAACACACTTATACACGCATCCCATGAAACGCAGAGTCCCTGGAGGAATACGCACTGCTCTATTCCAACACGCATTATGCACGCATCCTATGAAACACAGAGTCTCCGGAAGAAAATGCACAACTCTTCTAAGTCACTATTATACACGCATCCTATGAAACAGAGAGTCCCCAGAGGAAAACGCAGCACTTAGGCCATGCAATATCTTCACCATGGAGCCAAAGTTCCCAGCCCTCCAGTTAAAGGGTCGGAAATACTAAAGCAACCTATAAAACATCTCTGTTGCTAAGAGGAAAACCTGCCTACAAAACTTTAGACAGGTTCCCTTTCACCCAGAAAACAGAAAATCATTATAAAAGGATGTTTGTGAAGAAGTCACTGCTCAAATAAGGTTTCCAACTCCGTCCAGGAATGGGCAGGCATCTTGGACTATTTTAACTGCACGAAGTCCTTGAGTTCTACCAGAAACTCAGCAGCCTGAATCCAGTGGCAAGAGAGCCTGCCTTCAGCCGAAATGTGATGACAGGTTCAGGATGCTGTGCCCAAGACCTGCTGTGCTTGGCGGTCCTTTTTATAGACTGCTAACCCGAAAAGGGTGCTAAGGAGGGAACGCCCCAAGGACGCCAATCCTAGTAAAAGATGGTGCTGGATTCAGGCCAGAGGCAGCTACGAAAATCCCAGATGCTCGCGACATCGCCATTCCCATGATGACCGTTCTTCACCCAGTTGTTCCACCTTCTTGTGGATTTCAGCTTCAAAACTCACTCCAGGCAGGTTGCAAACCAAAGGCCTATGAAAGGCCAGTCAGGGGTCACCGAAGCAGGAAAAGGGAAGAATGCTTAGAGGTAAAGACAGATATAAATGTGTTTTGTGTTTTTTTAAAAGGCTCAAAAGCTACACATGCATTCATGTGTGTGCCTTCATGAGAAGGACGGTCTCTTTGGTCACATTCTCCTCCACCAATAAACACATGTGCTCAGAACAAACAGCCAAGACCGTATGGAAAAGTCATCAATGGAATTTACTCTGACGCTTCATGTCACTGGCTATAAAATCATCACAAGTAATCAAAACAGCAAGAGAAAATGATAGTATATTTATCTTTCACAAATGGCCATGTTTAATTCAGAAGCGTGGGATGTATAAAGTTAATGGAGTATAAAGCATTTCTAAAATAAGTAAAAACCAAACAAGAAACATGTGATGATTCATCCCAAGGTTAATCTTCTTTCTGTTGTGGTCAAGCACCCACAGCACAGACTCCGCCGTGACAATGACGCCTGAGGCCCGGTTCAGTGGCATTTGCCACATTCCCACTGCCAGGCAGCCATGCCCACCCTTCCTCTGCAGACTCTTTTCATCTCCACCATGGAAACTTGGTACCCACTGCAAAGTCAATCTCCTTAATGAGAAATTGTGAAAACTCTTCCCAAAACCATTAAGATACAAGAAAATTACAGTCACCCTCAGGAGGACCTTTAGATGCCACTGAAATGCAAAAGCAATCAGTGAGAACCTCCGCCAGTGTTGAGATCCGAAGACATTTCCAAACAAGATCTCCTAAATAATGAAGCAGCTTTGGGCATACCAGAGCACATTATGTAATAGAAACTAGAATTCTCCCAAACTTTCCATTCTGAATGGAGAAGACATTCCTTTCCTTATCCACAGCGAATGTCAAAGCCCAGGGTCTTTCACAGCTGTCACAGCAGTGAAACATTCTGTAACATAAAAACAGTTTTGAGGAAATTGCCCAGCTGATACCCTCCACATTGAGGCCCCAGTGGAAGGGAGCTCTCTTGTTTCCACAGATGGATTACTTAGAGTCTCATGAAAAGCAAATAAAATGTTTCCAGTTGGCAATGTTATCCAAATTAACTTAAAACCATTTACAGAACAAATTATTTTAAAAAAATGAAAAATTCATTCCCATACTTAATACCCACAGTATAGTAGTTAGCTTTTAACTTATTTTACCATTATTCCTGATGTTTCTCAGAATCAGAGAAATGATTCACCTAAATCTGGAAAATTAATTTCTTCCTAGAAATTCTATGACGCTGATGTTGACGGACAAATTGCTGCAAAAACCTTTGTTTTTACACATGCGACTTTTTCATATATTTTCACTCATAACCAAGACTTTCAGAAAATTAAAAGACGCTCAAAACTATCTGACACACTCAACGGGCTTCTGTGGAAGCAGTGAATGTGCTCAAACTCATAGCTGAGACACACTTGACTGGGTAAAAGAAAACAGGAACAGTTCCATCAGTACCATGAGTAACGTCATCCATCCCTGCTCCCAAGGGAAAAATAAAGATTATAGTTTTCTCAAACGACCTGGTATTCTACTCTGAAATGTATAGTACAGACGTTGGCTACTGAGATACCATTCTTAGTGGTGAGTCAACAGTAAATCCCAACAAATTAAATTCTTCTAGTTACTATAGAAGCATCTTTGTTATTAACTTGTTATAGCTTGAAAACAAGTAAGAAAATGGCAGCAAACCTCTGTTTCATACCCAACAAAAATATCCTGGAACACAAATACACATTTGACAGCACATGGCTGCTTTTAGAAATGAATAAACTGTAACAGAGCCCCTCACATGAAAGAGGCACCTCTATACTTTCCTCAGCACTTGCAATTTCTCTAATAAAAATAACTTAAATCAGAAATCTTGCAGGAGAGTAACGAAAATGCAGATCCATATCCACAGGATAATAGGCCCCGAGTGATCTTTTCTCCCCTTAATTGTATGATAACAAAGTTGTTTTTAGACCTTCTTTTTCTCTGTCATGTTTCCCTAAAAGTCATGCAAAACACTTTCTCACAACCACCAGCCACACACGCCTGTCCTGCCATGAGAAATTACAAGGGATGCATATCCCACTTCAGAATACTCAGGTCATGTTTTATTCATGGAGACCTTAAAGGGTTTAAGAACATAGCATCTAGACACTTCCTACCCTGATCACAAAGAAAGGCCTTAACTGCAAATAGACTCCAAATACGTTTCACTCTAGCCAATAATAACGGTGTTTTTTCCTTAATAAATAAGTATAACTGCAAAAGAAACAAATTTGAAACCAACAAATTCAACTTTATAAGACAACCAGTTTCCCTTAAAAATCCAAGACAACAATCATCTATTAATAAATTGATTTTCACTCTCAAATAAAAACAGATCTCTGGGCTCAGCTCATAACTCACTACAGAACTAAATATCCTATTTTCACATCTTACAGTTAGTTAATATGCAATCTTGCACTAAAAACAACTCACAAAATAAAAACGTACAAAATGTCTAAATCAGGTAATAATCACATTTCTCAGTTTTGCCACTGATATGAAACCTATAATATTAAATCAGAAGAATGAAATGTATTTACCTGTATTCCTGTCTGGTAAGATACAGCAATGCTTCTGCAGAATGCCAGGCAAAACCTGTTTTAAAACAAATAAAATACACTTGGTTATCACTCAGATAGAGAAAGGCATCTCATTAACTGTTGAGAGTGTTTTTTCTAATAAGGTCATTCAATGTTGCAGGAAGTCAGCGTGTCCAGAAAGGCCTAACAAATTAAACAGTACGGGGAAATTCTGATGACACATATTTTTCATTGAAAAGGGTAATCAGGTGAGTGTGATGATCACTGATGCTGCTGCTGGAATGTTAATGCAGGCTAGTTTAATGTATGCTCCTAATGGGCCCTCTGGGGATCCTGAAAGCTGCACTCAGGGGACTCCTACAATAAGGCAAATGGGTCCACCAATTTTTGTGATGGCTTTTAAAATATTCGGCGCAATTAGAGCCTGGAAATGGAGGGCTGCTGGAACATTATGTTGAGTCTTCTAGAATCTGAGCCTGCATGCTTCCATCAAGGGTGAGTCACAAAAGAAAATGTGAAAGTAAGGGCTGTATTTACATTCATACTTCAGTAGTGAAAGGTCAAGAAAGTATCTTATTTGGGAAGTGAAGGAGGGGTGAAAATAACAGAGAATGGCTTTCCCAAGATTCAGCAACATAAAGCAAATTGCAAAGCACAGACTTCAGTAACGTGCAGCCAGAGACGTCCGTGGGAAATGTATGATTATCTTTCTAAATCCAATTAGAGGAAAAGCTGAACTTTCATCCTAAATACTCCACATGATGAAGCTGCAGCCGTTCCTCAGCCCTCCGTGAAGACAGCTATCTACACAAGCCTGTGCTTGTTCCCTGTCCCAGGGCAAGTTACTCAGGGGAGAGGGCGGACAGATAGTATCGTAAAGAAGCACCAGTCTTAATGTCTGCCCTCGATCGACTTACAGTCTGGCTGAGTATGCAGCAGGCTCTCATAACTGCAATGGATGAAAGCACAAGAGACTGTCTAGAAAAACCAACCCCTTCTCCTCCATCCCCCTGACAATTCTGTGTTGAAAAAAGAACAGTTCTCTCTCAAATAGAATCACTCCCAAACAAGACAGAATTACCCATTTTCAACTCCGTGCAAATTAACAGAGACAGAAAATAAAATAAAACAATAATCAGTTTTAGTTCCTAGCAAATACTGTACAAAATGTGGAACTCAAAACTCAGAAACATGCTTCTCATTTACCCAGAGCTGACTGTAGCTGAAGCAGAGAATAAAGCCCAGTGAGGCCGCTGGGGCGCCGAGGTGCTAACCCTTGTGACAGCCACCAGTCAGGTGCCCGCCCCACGCCAGTGGAGGCTGTCAGTGTTTTTCATCAGTGGGTCTGAAGCTGTGGGTCATTCCTGACACTCTGCTTCCCTCATTAGCTCCCAGCCCCCACGCCCAGCAACGCAAGCACACACACACACACCTGAAGTCCTGGGGTTGGGCGCCTTCAAGAGCTCCGTGCAAATCTGCCTCTGTCTCATTCCACGGCCACAGCCACTCACTTGCCTTTTCCAGTACTTTCCAAAGAGCCTCAGGGATCAAGGCCAGGCCTCGGAACCTGCCCCCTCGGGAGGCATTCAGTGGCCCACTAAGTCCAAAAGGCCGCCCCTCCACACCCCAAGTGGAGATCGGAGACATGTGTCCACAGGGACGCCCTGCCACGTCCTGTCTTCAATTCAGGTGCCCACACAGTACTGTTCTGTGCCGGCTCCCCATCCACGGCCAGAGGGAAAACGCTGACCTAGGCAGCTGCAAACGCCACTTCAGGGATCTCTCCCTGCACAGCCTCCTCCTGGCTGAAATCATGAGCTGCTGCTGTGGCGTGCTGCGCCTAAGGAGAGGCTGTTCACGGGTGAGACCCACGCAGGTCCACAGCGGAACCCGGCAGGTGATCCCACAAACACAACACCCGACTCTGTGGCTCCCACAGAGCTTTCTCTGAACCCACCAGGCGGCTCTTTTTTTGGGGAGGATCCGAGACAAACCATAAGCGGAGCAGGGTGGAATCTGCTTTTGAGTTCCCTAAAGGCAGACAGTCTGCATTTGAAAACGGTGCTTCTATCTAACGCTGACAACACCCTCCACGTGACAGCCACGGGCAGGACCGCGAATTAAATCCAGACCAGCTGCGGCCTCTGCAAGGCTGAGCACCGGCTGCTCCCCCGACGGGCTCTGGCTGAAGGGGGCGGGAAGGCAGGAACATAATGGGGTTATTTCTTCCTCCCTGAAGGATTTACAGAGGGCCTCAGAGGACAATGAAATTATACTTCTTGCTCAAAGGCATTTTTAAAAGTTCAATTCCATACAACCTGCCTGTTCTATGACAGCATTTAGCAGCTGAGAAAGATGGGGAGGCGTGAGCTCTGCCTGCCAGGGGGCCAGGGTTACAAAATATCCTCAGCGCTCACCCTGAGGCGTCTGTCCACACTGGCCCAGTGGTCAGCACTGACACGCATTCCTGAAACACTGACTTCTAACCCCTCTGTAGCACCAGCCCGAGCGAGGCCCTCCTCGTCCGAGTAAAGCAGAATCAGAGGGTGTGGAGAGGGGGCACCCTCAAGTCAGGGGATGCGCATGATGGAATTTTTGTTTTTAAGACGGAGTCTTGCTCTGTTGCCCAGGTTGGAGTACAATGGCACAATCTCAGCTCACTGCAACCTCTGCCTCCCGAGTTCAAGTGATTCTTCTGCTTCAGCCTCCCAAGTAGCTGGGATTACAGGTGCCAGACACCACACTGGGTAATTTTTATATTTTTAGTAGAAACAGGTTTCACCATGTTGGCTAGGCTGGTCTCGAACTCCTGACTTCAAACGATCCACCGGCCTCTGCCTCTCAAAGTGCTGGGATTACAGGTGTGAGCCACTGAGCCCAGCCAGCAATATAATTTTAAATAACGAAAATCAGTTAAAACCTGAAAGTCGGGTGCCAGGTTGCACTGTCCACACACCACACGCTCACAGTGCCGGTGGCCTCATCACACATTGCGGATGTCACACACTCAACCGATTTTCACATGAAGAAACTTGACCCCAGCCAGGATCCAAACGCCCCATCAGCATCCCCTCTCCCTGCTCAGGGCCTGGACCACATCTGTCCCCTGCATCCAGAGGCCCAGGCCCAGCCACGCATCTTCCTCACCCTCCCTGACTCCTTCTGTGAGGCTCCATCCCCCAGGGGAACACAGGATCACTGACTGTGTGGCGTCTGAGCTGCGGAAGTGCTCCAGTGGAACGCATCGGTCTCCTGTGGCTGGTGACGAGCACCATGAACCAGGCGACTTAAAACAGAAATGCGGCAGCTCAGCTTCCCCCAACACTCTGTTTCCAAATGTGGTCGTGTCCAGAGAGCTGGGCTCCATCACACACTTTTGGGAGACGTAATTCAGCTATAACATCTGGTGAAACGTGCAGCCAGGGATGTGGGCAGGAGAGCATGCCGTCCTCCGTGGCCATGGGCTGTCATTGCCACATGCTGTCATCACCATGGGCTGTCACCATGTGCTGTCATCATTGTCATGTGCTGACAATGACCAAAACCTGTCATCATTGCCACGTGTTGTCACCATGTGCTGTCATCATTGTCATGTGCTGTCACCACCACGTGCTGTGGCGTGCTGCGCCTAAGGAGAGGCTGTCCACTGCCACTTGCTGTCACCACCATAGGCTGTCATCGCCACGTGTTGTCACCATGTACTGTCATCATTGCCACGTGCTCACTGCCACATGCTGTCCACTGCCACTTGCTGTCACCACCATAGGCTGTCATTGCCACATGCTGTCATCACCATGGGCTGTCACCACCACACGCTGTCATCATTGCCACGTGTTGTCACCACCACATGCTGTCATTGCCATGTGTTGTCACCACCGTGTGCTGTCATCATTGTCATGTGCTGTTACCACCACGTGCTGTAGCGTGCTGCGCCTAAGGAGAGGCTGTCCACTGCCACTTACTGTCACCACCATAGGCTGTCATCGCCACGTGTTGTCACCATGTACAGTCATCATTGCCACATGTTGTCACCACCATGTGCTGTCATCATGGTCATGTGCTGTCACCACTTGCTGTCACTGCCACGCACTGTCATCGCCACGGGCTGTCAGTCATTGAGGCTGTTTCTGCTAGCTCTCCCTCTCCACCGGTCAAACAGTTCCAAATTCTGGTCCAAACCGTCCTGTGCAACTTTCTTCAACATATGCTTCCATATTGCTCTCCCCTGAACACCCACCGGCATTTCCTGAGCCCCGGAAACGCACGCCCCGCTGTGATGATTTAGCGTTCCGCTCCTCTCTGGAGCACCCCCAGCTCTGCCCGCACATTCAAGGGGCCGTCCTCTAGAAACCCAGATCTGTTTCCACACTTCCTTTGCTTCTTAGGAGATAAACACTTTACTTTTATTAATAAAGAGATTCACATGTTCACTTTCTTTGGGAGAAATTCAGATAATATAGAAATAGATGGATTTGTGCAGTGGATGACTGCACTGCTGTTTAGGCCTTTGGACCTACTTGCTGTTTGATACCGGGCCTTGCGCCTGTTGCCCAGGCTGGAGAGCAATGGTATGATCCTAGCTCACTGCAGTCTCAACCTCCTGGGCTCAGTTCAAGCAGTCCTCCCACATCTGCCTCCAGAGTAGCTGTGACTGCAGGCACACACCACCATGCCCAGCTAATTGAAAAAATAAATGTAAAGAGATGGGGTCTTGCTAGGTTGCCCAGGCTGGTCTCAAACTCCTGGCCTCAAGTGATCCTCCTGCCTCAGCCTCCTAAAGTGCTGGGACTTAGGACATGAGCCACTATACCCAACTTACACCTACTTCTCTTTTTAAACTATGTATACATACAGTTTTGACAATAAAATCTCATATCCTTCCACTTTGGGAAATTCACAATATTTCTTCTCTGTTCTCTTCTCCTGGAACTTCTGGTATTCCACTGTCGGACCAAAGGAGCCTATTTTCTTTTCACGTCTCACTTGTTTTCTGTTTCCTGTGTCTTTGTTCTACTTCCAGGAAAATCCTCTCGACTTCATTTTCCCGTCCGTTAG